AAAAAAAGGGTGAGGGTAGCAGCGGGAGACCGACAATAGGTGAACATGACCGGCAAAGACAAGGGAGACTGGAATGACAATTTCTGGCTCATTAGCCGTCATCATTCAGCCCAGGTGGGTCACCCTCCCAATGCTCGAACGAAAAACCTGCGGATCAGAAGCTCAGTGCATCTGCCTACACTACTAGCTGCTGTGCGGCTACTGGCTGGGTTCAAGATTAAGCTCCAAGACAGAACAGGACGAGTGAGTTTCGTTAGCGATCGAGGAGAGTTCATTAGTGAAAGACAGAGGATAATTGGAGTAGTGTGAAAATGTATCCTGCAATCACATGCTCACCCATGAGAACCCTGACCTAAAATGGCTCTTTTCTTTGATTTTAGTTTGCTGCAGTCCTCTACTCACTGACGTACATTGGTGCCCGTTTCAACTTTTTGACTCTCTGCATCCTCGGTAAGTCATCTGTCTTTCTGTCAGTTTGCATCGTAAAGAATATGCCCTCAGTCTCCTCAAGTATGACGTACTTGCAATCACCTTCGTCCTTCCAGCGCCTCAACCCCCGCCCCCACCACTTCCACGCTCCAACACCCGTCCTCTTAGAAGGACTTAAATGCTGGATTTTTCTTACAGTTTTTTGTGAGGCCACAAGCGAAGGAGTCCTCTAAATGGGCCCTTACTGCCCCGTTCGAGCAAGAAGCAAGTCTTGGCTCTCGACAAACAAAACAGACAGGCACATTTTGTCCTTGAGAGGAAGGCGATGCGATGGCTAAGCCGCTCATTTTATTAGATTGGCGTTTTGGACCATCGGAGATAACTATCATATCAGTTATTTCGCTGTGGAAACCAGCAAATAACGTTTACACATTCTGATTTAAGAATTAGCCACAAAACTCCCAAAAGGCAACTGGCTGGAGCCTCAGTTACACATCTTCCCTAAGTGAGTTTGAAACACGTTTAGCAGATAAGGACAAGTTGGAGGGCGTGATTTAATTTACACGCGGCTTTACCTTTTCCTTTCTCGAAACCTTTGTGGTTGTGGCATCAAGTCCATTAAAAAAATCATTAGGCGTGTCCTTTTAATAGCATACTAAAAAGGACATTTGAATGAGTGCACGTCTAGGTGACAACGAACAGGACCGCCAAGAAAGACTTGCCGACTACTGAGGACGAAGTTGACCGCCGTAGGCGAACTGCCACTCTTTAACATTAACTTTTTTCTAGTTTGGCTGTCAGTACCGACCTGGTCCAACTTGTGTCCCACAGAAAGTTGGGCACAGGGAGGACGGCGATTAGTGCGTGAATCGTGGACTCCCGCAGCATCCATCACGTTCTCCTCCAACACCCAGCTGGGCTCCG